TTTATGCTTACATTTAGGTATTTGGTATATCATTGTTATAACTTTACAAGTCATATCCAAAGGATAAAGCAAAACCACCTACAAATCAGCATATTTATTTCAGCTTGTGAAAACGTCCTTAATTTGTTGATGTAGCAAACAGATTTCAACTTTGATTGCTATGCAAAAGAACAGAAGATAATCTGCTCTGCAATTAACTTTATAGTTCAATTGCATACAGGCAACATGCTATATATGAAAAAATTACTAACTGAACTACAGGTATTAAATACTGAAAAAATTAACAGTTTATTATAATTTATTTTATTTAACAATCTAGGAAGTTCGCAGCCATCAGTAGTTCCAGTGCAATTTCAGGTGCAATCGGAAATTCAGGAATCTCAGTGGAGCTGTTAGTGTAGCGGACCTTGTAGGTGAAATACATGCACACTTTTGAGAGCACATGTGATGGTATCTCTCTGAAATTGACCTCATTGGTTTCGTTTTCAGCAAACTGACCTGTAATACAAAAGGGTTATGTATATTATAAGCTGTTCAGTAAATCTTCCCTCCATTCCTAAGTGGAATTTTTTTCCATACGTTTTTATTGATTTTTTTGTGCATTTAAAAAAATATAAGATCCTGGGCCGGGCGTGGTGGCTCACGCCTTTAATCTCAGCACTTGGGAGGCAGAGGCAGGAGGATCTCTGTGAGTTCAAGGCCAGCCTGGTCTACATAGTGAGTTCCAGGGAGACCCTGTCTCAAAAAGACAAAAAAAAAAAAAGCTCTTAACCATATTTAGATTCTCTCCCCTATTTCCATTCCACACACTCAAAATCAGGATTTCATTCTGTAGTCATGGTGGCTTAGAACTCAGATCTGCTTGCCTCTGAGTGCTAGGCATTGAACCCACAGCCTCATGCATGTTCTGTACCACTGAGCTACAACCCTAATTTAGAATCTTTGTGTTTTATTGCCCACTTTATAGACAAGGTCCAATTTTACCTTTGTAATTTTTTTTATAAATAAGCTTAGTTTTAAAAAGAAAAAAAGGTATTTTGCTTTTTTTATTTTATTTTTTTAATTTCTCCCTGTTGCCCCAGCTGTCCTGGAACTCACTATGTAGACCAGGATAGCCTCAAACTCACAAAGACCTGCCTGCCTCTGCCTCCCAAGTGCTGGGATCAAAGGCATGCGCCACCATGCCCAGGTGCTTTTCTTTTTTGAGACAGGGTTCCCCTGTAGCCCCAGCTGGCCTGGAACTTACTATGTGTAGACCAGTCTGGCCTTCTGCCTCTACCTCCCAAGTGCTGGCACTAAAGGAAAAAGCTGTTTTTCAAGACTGGACTGGAAAAAGTAGGGATTGTTCTGTGTGACAGCTTGGGAAAAATTTTTTTCATTATGTAGTACAGTGTGGAACTGGAAACTTTGGCTCTCCTGCCAAACATTAAAACAGAGGAAGGAAAAAGTAACTCTACCTACCTGGTCCACTCAGCATGGCTTTTATTGTCCCTGAAGTTAGCGCATGTTCTCTTTTTACAATGAATTCGTGCCCATCAGAAGATATTAATTTGACATACATGGCATCAGGGCCTTCACAGCCACCGTAGGTTTTCTCTTCTCCATCTGAAATGAAGTAGGAAAATGATTTTGAACCACAGAATGCATTAAAAATAAACAGGTTAGGTAGGGGATACAGCGCAGGGAAAGCATGTGTGAGGCCTTGGATTTGCTTTGGCTACATCTGCCACTGCCATCATGCTGGCTTCAGCTACAGATTTCTGCTCAAGATAAATGTTTAATAATTTGAATCTACCCACAAAGAAATAAGACAAATTTGAAGGGTAGTCCAGCTTAGTTCTCAAAAATATATGATGGAAGACTTTCTCTCCACTCCTAAACCAGCGTCTACTAGGTGAAACATGAAATTACCCCATAACTTACCCATTGTGTTCTTGTAAGTCTTCTTTGATCCCACAGGAACTTTAGTAGTTTCCTGAAAATGTAACAATACTATATTAAGATTAATGCTGCACCTGACATTTCCCATGCATTATTATTATGTTCTTGGTACTAATAATTTAAGGACTTTCTCCCTCCTTATAGATTTCCCCCCCCACACCCCCACACACTGTGCTGCGCTAAGGGGGAGGTTGTAAAAAGTGATACCTCAAGATTAACAGTCCTATAGAAAAGTATGGACCACTAAAAATGCATACATAAACCAAAAACAAACTCCGAACGAAAAACTAAAAGCAACAAATCAAATAAAGAAGGCTGCGCTGAGCTTTTCTACAGCCCTAGGGGTCCTGTTGTCATCTGAGATCTCACTGGCCTTTTCCCCAGGCTTGTGTCAGCCTCTAGCTAGTTTAAGCTAATTAGAACATTCAGGATGCAGAGCTTTTATGTGCATGGAAAAGAACATGAACTGACCAATGACATCAAGTAGCTCCCATGAAAATAGGAGAGTAATGAGGCCAGACTACACAGTGAGTTCCAGGCCAGCTGGGGCCACAGGAAACCCTGTCTCAAAAAGTCAAAAAAAAAAAAAGTCAAAAAAAAAAAAAGGAAAAAATTAAAGCATGTGCACATGGTAATTTTACTCTTCTATCCCTTCTGCAAAATTTGGGAAATCTTAAAATTACAAAAGGATTCCTTAAAAGGCATTGTTTTCAGTAATTTGTACTATTTCTAATACGAGATAAAGGAGAGAAAAAGGGCAACATCGGCACAACAATCTGCAGGCCTAAATACTGGTGCACACTATAGTAACTGCTTTATAGGCAGTATCTTACTTAAAAATCATTTCTACTTTAGAAATGAAGAACACAAGGCTTCTAAGCTTAAGGTCTAGCATTAGGATTTAAAGCTTGCTGGGTTTGACTTTACAGCCTGTATTCTCTCATTCAACTCGGCTGTGAAGAAAAAAAACACTGACTCCAAGTTTCTATTTGTCTTCAAAATTCTTGAGGGTTCTCCAAAAATTTGAGACTAGTACTGTCATTTTATAATCTGCTCTGCAATTAACTTTATAGTTCAATTGCATACAGGCAACATGCTATATATGAAAAAATTACTAACTGAACTACAGGTATTAAATACTGAAAAAATTAACAGTTTATTATAATTTATTTTATTTAACAATCTAGGAAGTTCGCAGCCATCAGTAGTTCCAGTGCAATTTCAGGTGCAATCGGAAATTCAGGAATCTCAGTGGAGCTGTTAGTGTAGCGGACCTTGTACAAGAATTTTAAGCATCAACTTTCCTCTCTGGATAATCTCCACAGCAAAATATCTAAGATGTTTGTCTAAGCAACCATGCTAAGTCACATCTTAGAAGCCCTTTGGGGAACAATGGTTTCTCTACAGACTTACTATAGAAAACCAAGGCCAGCATTTAAAGGCGACCCACCAGAGAAGGAGCAAATCAACATTAAGGTGAAATATCACTACATGTGTAACTCATATCAAGAAACCCAAATTTAAAGAAAAGTCTCCGTTTGAACATTTGAACATTTTATTCCATGACTAGCTGAAGTCTGGGAACCAAAATAAACAGGTGGAAGTCAGGCATCAGAAAGCAACCTTTGTTTTGTGAACAAAGTTACTATCAGGAACAATGGCTTGAGATGCCATGTGATTTTAGAGTATTGTGTATAAACGTTGTTTCTTGTATCTCTTTGTTTTTGGTCTCAAGCAGAAAACCTAGGTGAGCCTAAGACTTGCACAGAAATCAGCTTTGAATCTAGTATCCCTGAACCCTCAAGAGATTCATTAAAGGCTAGGGGAGCAGCAGTACATGCCTTGGGGTTTCTGGCAGGAGGGCTATATGGTAAATTTGAGGTCTCCATGAGCTACACAGGGAAGACTGCTTCAAAAAAATTAAAATAGTTCTTCCTCAAAATAGCAAAAAACCAGGCTGGGCATTCAGGAGGCAGAGATCTCTGTGAGTTGGAGGCCAGTCTGTTCTACATAGTTCCAGGGCAGCTGGGGCTACAGCTTGTATCTCACCATTTTTCTAGAACATTTTTTTTTGGGGGGGGTGTCTTTTTTAGAGACAGGGTCTCCCTGTAGACCAGGCTGGCCTTGAACTCAGAGCCATCCACCTGCCGCTGCTCCCCAAAGCATGCAGCACCATGCCTGGTTCAGACACACTTTTTAATTGATTTTTTTCAAAAGACTAAACTAAGCAGTTCTTGGTTGGAACAATGGTCAGCTGGATAATACATTTGTAACGCTATTTAAGAATGTGAAAAAGCCAGGCATGGTGGCCCACACCTTTAGTTCCAGCCTGGGAAGCAGAGGCAGGTGAATCTCTGTGAGTTCCAGGCCAGCCTGGTCTACATAGTGAGCTCCAAGTCAGCTGGAGCTTCAGGGAGGCTGTCTCAAAAAAAAAAAAGACAAAAAATAAGTAAATAAATAAGAATGTGATTAATTTGAAACACAGAGTAAATTACTTAACTAAAAACAATCTAATGCTAAGGCCTACACTAAGAGACAAGAGACTTTTTGGCCACTGAATACAAATGGCCAGAAGTGGTACCCAACTCCATCATGCAGTAAGACCGCAATGTATTCTGCCTCAGATGCAGTTAACCTGCAGTTGGAATATTTTTCAGGAAATGCTGAACTTGTATCTGGTCAATACAATTTCTTCTTTCATGTATGTGAGTCTTCTGCCTGCGTGTATGTATGGGCACTACATGTATGCACCTGGGGGTAATGGGGTTGGGTAGAAGAGGTCAGATCCCCTGCAACTGAATTGCAGATAACTGTGAGCCTCCATGTGGATGCTGGGAACTGAACCTGGGTCCTCTGCAGGAGCAAGTGCTCTTAACTGCTGCTGAGCCATCTCTTCAGACCCCCACCAACACAATTCTTTACAATATTCTTAGTTAATTCTCACAGTTTTAGCCAAAGCTGGGTGTGGTGGTGCACACCTGAAATTCTAGCACTCAGGAGCCTGAGGCAGGAGAACCTTAGGTTTGAGGCCAGGCTGGGGTTGGCCAGGCTGGGGTTGGCTACATAGAAAGATCTTTCCTGCCTCAAAACATCCCACATTCCTCCCTTTTTAACCCCCACAATGGGAAATTTGTTTTCTCTGCTGTTGCCTTGTAGGTATCTTTTAAAGAAATATCCTCCCCAACTTGTTTCTGCCCATTTTCAATGTCCACCAAAACATCTGCACACTGAGGATATGGCTTTTTTTTGCCTAGTGAGGCCCTGAAAACAAACAAACCTGCACAAAACCAAAATATATCATAAAGAAAAAGGACAACCATAAACTAGGAAAAAGCATTCACAAGGCATACCTGAAAATTATTTGTCTGGTTAAAAGCCACTGATAATCAGTAACAAAGCCCCAAACTACTGAATTAAAACGGATCCTCACATTAAAGTGTTCAAGGAGAAAGGATCAGGAGCCAAGGTCATCATCTGTTACACAGGGATTTAGGAGAACCTGGGCAACAGGAGACACTATCTCAAAACAAAAACAAAACTCAGAGACCTGGGGATTAGCTCAGTGGTATAGCATGTGCTTAGAATGCCCAAAGGCCCTGTGTTCAATCCCCAGACTCACACCTATACATAAATTCAGTCTTGGTGGGTGTGGCAGTGTACACCTGTAATCCTAGCACTTGGGGGCTGAGGCAGTAGGACTGCCAGGTGATAACCCAGTCAAGACTGAAACAAAACCAAACTACCATTACCAATAACAAAAATACTCAATAAAAGTAACTCAAATTTTCTAGATAAGCTGATGTTAGCAAAAAGGGGAGGAAAGTAACTGTCCCAAAAGAAAGTAAATCAGTGGTGGTTACAAATCTTTAAGAGAAAATGTGCTAAAATTAACAGACAGCTTTTGATCTGGTTCTTGATTGATGGAGGTATTTTTTTTTTTTACCAAACTGGAAGGAGACGGTGATCTAGACAAAGCAATCAATGACCCCAGTCAGACAGTTTCAGATGTACACAGTAGCTTAGTGTTGTTGAAAACCAGTTTAGAAATTCATTTATCCCACAAATACTACACTGAGGATTAGTGTGTCAAGTGCTGTCCTAGGTACTGGAGACACAGACAAATTTAACAGACTTTAACTTCCTGGGAAGAATGGTAGCAACAAAGTCTAGCTTGGTGGGGCATAACTTAAAGTCCAGCTCTTAGAAGGCTGTGTCAGTAGGATTACCAAGAATTCAAGATCAGTCAAGGCTACTAAATGAGTTATCAGGCCATCCAGAACTATAGAGACAGACACTGTCTCATAAAAAACAAACAAACAAACAAACAAAAAACCCCAAACAAAAAACAAAAACCCCAAACAAAAAAACCAACAAAATAAACTGGGTGCACTTCTTTAATCCCAGCACTGGGTAGGCAGAGGTAAGATGATCTCTGTGAGCTCCAGGCCAGCCTGATCTACATGAGGACCCTGTCTCAAAACAAAAACACAACCCAGGTGAGATGGATCAAATTCTATAGGGAAAAAAATAAAGCAGGGTAAGGTAGACAGAGAATGAGAAGGGGAGAGGTGGTTATTCAGGATGGTGAAGAGGCCTCACTGACACTTGAGAGAAACCTGAAGGGAGTGAGTCATGGATATCTGAGGCAAGAGCAAGACCAGTTTGTCAGGTGGTCAGAGATGGGAGTGAAGGAGAGAGTAGGACAAGGTCAGAGAGTCTAGGGAATAATGGGGCCTTATCAAATAGAATAGTGAATGACAAGCTGAGGCATGGCTAGAACACATGGTGTTTCTTGTACATGCTGGGCAAGCCCTCTACCATTAAGCCTCACCCTCAGCCAAGACAAGAGCTTCAATGCTTAGGAAAAGTCTGGGGTAGGCACAGAATCTTTTGCTATACCATCCTGCTTCATCTCCTTTTCTATCATTCCTGAAGATGTGATTTCAGCCTTACACATAATGTACTTTTGCATTTGGCTTTAGAATGCACACCTCACCCTCCCCCCAAACCAGTTCTCTGTCACTAGGAGGAAGTTACCTATGCTTTCTGGCCTAGTTTCTTCAACTGTAAAAATATACCATTTCTGGGAGCTGTTCTTGCAGAAGACCCAGTTTCGAATACCAGTACCCACATGGCAGCTAACAACTGTCTGTAACTCCAGTTCCAGGGGATCCAACACTCTTCTGTCTTCCAAGGGCATTGCACGACACGTGTGCACTTACCTACATGTAGGCAATACATGCATACACAAAAAAATGATAAATAAAATTTATTTTTTAAAAAATAAAGCTTTTCCAAGAGTAGTTTGGTGGGTTGAAGAGGTGGCTCAAACAAAGGTTAACAGTATGTATTGCTCTTGCAGAGGACCTGAATTTGGTTCCCAGCACACATGCCCATAATTCCAGGTCCAGGGGATCTGATGTTCTCTGGCCTCTGCAGGTACCTGCACTCATGTGCATATACCCAGAGTCACAGATAAATTAAAAAAAAAAAAAAAATCTTACAAAAAACTTAGAATGGTGTCTAGAACACTGTAAAGTAAACACATTAAAATGCTGCTATGATTCTATTTTCAAATTCAAAGTTTGATCAAATATGTGGAGAAGCAAGAACCTACCATGTGCAAGTACAGATGGCGGTCAAGGTAAGTCTGTAGACAAAATAAAACTCTACTGTACTGTGCTGCACTATTCTCACACTACACTGTACTACAGGGCAGCAATCTTTCTGTAAAGGGTCATAGGATATTTACTTGGTTGTCAGTATTATGTAGTCCTGGCACGTAATTATGTAGACTAGGCTGGCCTCAAAACTCAGATCTACCTACCTACACCTCCCAAGTGCATTAATGTGCCCCTATGCCTAGCTCCTTTCTTTGGATTTTTAAAAAAGGATTGAATATCTTTGTGTGTGTGTCTTTATGTGTGTGAGTTTCATGTCTATCTTTTAGGTTTGGGAAGAATAGGATGTTGGCTATCATGGAGTCACAGGTGGTCAGCCACCATGACTGGGAATTAAACACTGGTCCTCTGAACTGCTAAGCCCTTTCCTTGTTCAACTATTTTAAAAAATGTAAAATCTGGGCTGGGAATTTGGCTGTGTCTTGACTAGAATACACAAGGCTCTGAGTTTAATTCCCAACACCACAGGGTAATTACACAACCAACAATTCCTAATTCAAGTAGGTTCTTAAACTGTAGTCCCTTCCTTCTACAGGCTAATGAATTAGTACCAAAAACCCTTGAATCCGAATATATAGTTTGGGACATAGCTTCAGTTTGGAGTAAGAGGAACAAGAAGCTCCAAGGCTTTTTATCAGATTTTTCCAAGGGGTCCCTGACGATGAATGAAAAAACAAAAACAAACCTTACAATCAATTTTAGTAGCTACCTTAGCAGATATACAAGCTTAGGGTGCTCAGACAACTTGTGGCCAAGACTAACAACCCGAGTTTCATCCCTGGTACCTATATGATAGGAGTGAACAGACTCCAGAAAGTTTTCCTCTGATCTCCACAAGAATACTATGGGATCCCTCCCCAATGAAAAATAAAATAAAAAAGAAACCTATTTAGACCCAAGCTCATTTCCATATCTGAATTTCTATTCTGTTAGGCATTCCATCTTGAGACCCAGATTAAGTGACAGGAATTCTGATTGTTCCCCAATAAAGGAAATTAATTACACTGTGTCTAAAAGCCCAGTCTAGCCTATTTTATGATTCAATCAGCCTGAAATCATATCCCTTATACCTCCTGTAATTTATAATTCAACTCCCCACTTTTAATAAGCAATAATAAACATTCAATACGGAATTTATGGGCTCCAGAGTACAGTGTGCTCCCAGGGTCTGTCTGGTTCACCCTTAAAAATCATAGGATCTCCCTTTTAGACAGCATTTTCAAATTCCTTTATTTCAGTTCATGAAAAGTATGGGACGTTGCTAGTATTTCTAACAGTTTCTGTACATAAGACAATCTAAACCCGGATGAGTGAAGCAGGAGAATTGCAAATTGAAGGCCTATCTGCCTAAGTTACATAGCCAGTCAAAGACCAGCCCAGGCAACCTAATCTTATCTCAAGATATGAGAGTGAGCAGGATGTGGTGGCACACTCCTTTAATCCCAGCCTCTACCTCCTCAATTTCTAGGATTAAAGGTGTGGGCCATCAATGCCTGCTGATGTATTTTTGGCTGGTAATTATAAGATACTAAACCAACATTTTTGTGTGCTCCTGAATATCCAACCTAATGCCCTCTTGCACATTAGGCAAGCACTCTCCATCAAGTTATAGTCCTAGCCTGGCAGTAATTAGAGAACTGTCCTATTTAAAATGAGGAGCCATTTATAAATTAAATAGGGGGCTGGGGATACAGTGTAGTGGCACTCAGAATACAGGGCGGTTGAGGCCCAGGGTTAATCCCAGCACATTAAAAAAATAAAAAGGGGCTGGGAGTGGTGCTGCAGGCGTTTAAATCTCAGCACTAGGGAGATAGGCTTGTGGATCTCTGAGTTCCAGGCTAGCCAGGGCTACACAGTCAGAGCCTGTCTTTTTGAACTGGAGTGGACAAGGACAGGAAGGAATCCCAAATCACCACTACCAATAAAGAAATATCCATGACAGGAACTACAGCCTTTTCCTTACTGAATCCCCAGAATGCTTACTCCACTGTGAACCAGAAAACGTGAATCATAATGGAAACGAGACCAGATATTTATCATTTTAAATCATTTTACAGAAAACAGCAACTAGGAGATTAAAAAGCAAATTTAGCAGTTTGAAAACGAAGTTTTAAAACTAAAGATTTAAGTTGCTTTCTACACTGCTTTAAATGACACGAACTCCACACTCATCTAAAGATATTTCAGCTCCTTAAGGGAAACTAAGGGGCAGTGTACTTATACCACTTTCAGACAAAACTGGGAGGCGGATGCAGGAATGTCCCGGGCTATCCTAACAGAGATCACCGAAGTTGCCCAGAAGGTAAACTTTTGGGGCTCCAGCAGCTGAAAGGAGCGAGGGCCCTCTCTTGAGAGTAGGGACTAATTTCCTTGAATTTGAGCGGACATGAGAAAGGCAAAAAAGAAAAAACGACAGGGCTGCCATGCTCCTAACTCCACCCTCCCCGCGCCCCACTCGGAGAAGGCCCAGGCTGGCCAGCAGCCTCGGGTCCTGCCAGCGCTCTCCAAGCCCACCAAGCCGCGCCAGGAAAGGTCCCACCAACCTCCCTCCTCTCCCCTCCCCCCAAACCAGAAACTGGGCAGGCCGGAGAGCTGAGGAGCTTCCGTTCCTTCCCCGCCCAGATGGGAAGGGGTGAATCAGGGGGATGGCGAACGCGCCTTCCAAGGTATCCGCGCAAACCCGCCGCCCTGTTTCCCTCCGGCCCGACACTTACAAGCCAGTCCTGCAGCCACCGCAGCCGTATCCCCGTGTACCGCCACAGCCCCTATTCAGGGCCGCCCCCCCACCCCCAGCTGCCTACCCCCGCGGGTTCCGGGGCACTGGAAGGAATTACTTCCGTCGGTCACAGCCGCTTTCTGCACCGCGCGGGAGACCTGGTGAGGCGGGAACACAGCCAGTGACCCACTCCATTCAGGAGGAAGTACGTAGGATCGCCTCCCTTTCTCATCCCAAGTACAGGCCGATTTAAGAGCAGGTACTACCAACTCTCAACCAATGAGATGCTAAGGCCTTCTGGATTCCCAGCATGCACCGCTGTCCGGATTTAATTTCTAAGAGATGAGACAGCAGTGCATTCTGTGATGTGTAGTTTCTGAAGTTTTTGCTTGAGTTTGCGCAGACACAGCGCGCTGCATCTCGGGATTTGTAGTTTCCCGTGCTCCGAATCGAATTTTGGTGAATTTAAGGAGTATCCCTGCGTCTCCTTTCGAGCTAACCCGGAAATGGGAGATTACAAAGGGAAACCTGAGACATGGAAATGCAGTTTTTGTGCTAAATAAGGTTGTACCCTTGAGGAAGTGGCATCTGACCTTTCTGAGAAGTTGTAATACACACTGATGAGCATCTCTTTAGCTCGCTGTGTGTGCTTGCCTCATTTCCTCTCTTCCCAGTTTAGGTCAGTGTTTACTGAAAATATGCCACGCCCACACACTCTTCTCTCTTCCCTGACGCCTGCCACCATAGCTCAAAATCTGGGTCCGGCCATCTAGTTCCTCACCCACCCACCCCACACCCCATATTTTCACCCTATTTCCGCATCACAGTTCAGCCTATCCTTTTCACCCGCTTTCCTGTGGTTACCCAGGGACCTTTCCTGGAAAAAAAATAGCTCAATAAATTCACCCTCTTCCGTTTTTGTGGAGTGAGCTTGAAGAGAACGTAGACTGAAGATACTTGTAGTTACTCAACTAGTCACTATTGTTTAACAAAGTCCACAAAAGAAAGTAGATATGGACAATCTGGAATTTGTGGAACTAATAACGTTTTCCAAAAAGGCTTTGTTTTTTTCCTGAATTTTATTTTTGTTTGTTTGTTTGTTTTTTGAGACAGGGTATCACTATGTAGCCCTAGTTGGCTTGGAATTCACTATGTAGACCAGGCTGGCCTTGATCTCACAGAGATCCGCCTGACTCCCGGGTGCTGGGATTAAAGGCGTACACCATCGGGTCCAGCCTATTGAATTTTATTTTGTTTTTGAAACAGTCTCCCTGTTGTCCCAGCTGGACTGGAACTGGCAGGTTAGACTAGGATGGCCTTGAGATCTGCCTGCCTTTTTCTCCTGAGTGCTTAATGGCTGCTCCTCCTCGCATGGCCCAACCTATTGAATTTTTGAAGACAGGGTAACCCTGGTAGCTAACAAAGTACTTTGTAGCCCACACTGTCCTTCTACTCCAAAATCCACCGCCCTGCACCACTTTCCCTTCTTTTCGTTTTTTTTCTGTTGTTGTTGTTGTTGGTTTTTTTTTTTTTTTTTTTTTTTTTTTTTTTTTTTTTTTTTGTTTGGTTTTTTTTTTTTGTTTGTTTTTTTTTTTTGTCTTTTTGAGACAGGGTTTTCCTGTAGCCCCAGCTGTCCTGGAACTCGTTATGTAGACCAGACTAGGCTTGAACTCACAGAGATCCGCCTTGCCTCTGCCTCCCAAGTTCTGGGATTAAAGGCATGTGCCACCACGCCAGCCTCGTTTTGATTTTTAAACAATGTTTTCCTATGTAGTCCTAAACTGTCCTCCAGCTCCACTTTGCAGTCCTTGTGCTCCAACCCCTGACTGCTGAAATTACTGGTGTGTGCCTCAGTGGGTGGGTGGCTCAGAAAGGCTGTTCTAGCTGACTTCACAGGTAGAAGGTACACTTTTTTTTTTTTTTTGAGACAGGGTCTCCCTGCAGCCACAAATGGCTTGGAACTTGCTATGAAGACCAGGCTGGCCTGGGTCTCACAGAAATCCACCAGCCTCTGCCTCCCAAGTGCTGGAATTAAAGGCATGGGCCACCATGCTCAACTTGGAAGGTATACTTTTAAAAGATTGATTGCAAAAATGGAACATGTGGCCCTGAATTAATTTTTCAAAGACTTTGCAGAAGTAATGACTTTTGGTTGTATTGATAGCTTAAAATAGTTTGATGGGGAAGAGAGGCATTGGGTTACAGAAGAGATGAAGCTGAGGGAAAATCTGAACAACCCTAGGCAGTAAGGGTGGGGCCCACTAGCCGTAGGGAATCAGGACTCCCCCTGATTGGTTTATTTCTCAGGCTGGGTGGAAGATGCAACCGTAGGGCATGTGGACTCTACTGTTGTAGCCCAAAATATGCTTTAAAAAAAAGACCAATTCCCACTGAATGACACATAAAATGTCATAGGGCAGGGAAACTGGGCAGTATCACTCCCTTGTAGCTGCTCCAACTCTCAAGAGTTCCTTTTCACTTTTCTTTAATAAACCATTTAGAATGGTTTTTGTTTTTAAATATTTTATTTTATTTTTTGCTGGTACTATGCTGTATTTATTTTTTTAATAAATAATTTATTGAGAATTTCATACATGCATTGATCAAATCCATGCCCATTCCCTTCAATTCAACTCCTTCCATATCTCCCCATCAGTTTTTTCCGATAACTTCATATACTCTTTCTTCTTTGATTGATTTATTTTGTGGGGCTTTTGGCTACTCTAACATTACCCCCTCTGAAGAGGTAACCCTAAAATCTTTTAAGGATTAGGTACAAGCTCCCAAATACTTTCGACATTTTTGGCCTTTGGAACAGAGTATGTTGCTAAGAGGCCCAAGGACATTTTGACTTTTAGCCAAGAAACTGGCTATTTTTCTTTGGGGTCTTTTTCCCCTAACTGCCTAGCCAATTCCTACCTCCTATTCTTATTATACCATCCTCTGAAGAGGTTATCCAAATTGCCAATAGGGCTTTGTCCAGTGCTGATTTTGAGCTTTATTGCATTGTAGTCCAACAAAATGCATAGAATTATGTCAATTTTTTTGTATTTGTTGAGGTTTGTTTTGTGGCCCATTATGTGGTCAATTTTTGAAAAAGTTCCATGGGGTGTGGAGTAGAAAGTGTTTTCTTTGGTGCTTGGGTGGGCTATTCAAAAGATATCTGTTAGGTCCATTTGATGTATGGTATCATTTAATTCAGACGTCTCTCTGTTTATTCTTTGTCCAGTTGACCTGTCTAATGGAAACAGTGGGGTATTGAAGTCCTCTACTATTACTGAGTTGGGGTTAATCTGTGTCTTAAAGTCCTATAGTGTTAGCTAAGCATGGTGGCACATGCCTTTAATCCCAGCATTCGGGAGGCGGAGGCAGGTGGATCTCTGTCAGTTCAAGGCCAGCCTGGTCTACACAGTGAGTTCCAGGACAGCTGGGGCTACAAGGAGACACTGTCTCAAAAAGACCAAAAAAAAAAAAAAAAGTCCTATAGTGTTGTTTTTATGAATTTGGGTGCACCAGAGTATGGTGCATATATGTTAAGGATTGTAATATCTTCTTGATTAACTGTTCCTTTGATCAGAATGAAGTGACCCTCCTTAACTCTTCTGATTAGTTTTACTTTGAAGTCTTTATCAGGTATTAGAATTGCAACCCCTGCTTGTTTCTTAGTGCCATTTGCTTGGAATATTCTTTTCCATCATTTTACCTTAAGGTAGTACCTGTCCTTGAAGGTGAGATGGGTTTCTTGCAGACAGGAAAGAGATGGATTCTGTTTTCTAATACAATTAATCCATTCGCTTAGCCTGTGTCTTTTGACTGGGGCATTCAGCCCATTGATATTTAAGGTTATTATTGAAAGGTATGTATTGGTTGCCATCATTTTGATTGCTGTTTGTGTTCTCTAATTTTGTTTTTCCTCGATATACCTTTTATTTATTTTCTTTTGTTGCCCCTGGCATAGTTGTTTCTTTCTCTGCTCTCTGTATTGCTTCAAGTGTTCTTTGAAGGGCTGGTTTTGTGAACATGTATTCTTTCAGGCTATTCATATCATGAAAGATTTTTCATTCCCCCTCAACTATCATAGGCATATTTGCTAGGTAAAGTATTCTGGACTGGCATCTATTGTCATGTAGAACTGGAAATACCTTGGTCCAGGCTATTCTGGCTTTCATAGCTTGCACTGATAAGTCAGCTGTAATTCTATGGGCTTTTTCTTTATATGTGACATTTCTCTTTTACTGCTTTCAGTATTCTCTCTTTGTTCTGTACATTTAGTGTTTTTGCTATGATATGCCTTGGAGAGTTTCTTTTCTGGTCCTGTCTATTTGATGTTCTCTGTGCTTCCGGTATATGTATGGGG